ATTCAGTATGTTAAGGGGTCTGGCATAGCACTTCTTGGTTCTATGAAAATCAGTTATTCTGATTTTGAATAGCTTTTATAGATACTGATTTTGGTATATGTTAGTTATACAAAATCACTTGAGTGAAAAAATAGTAGGTACATTTTTTTTTTTTTTTAATTTGACCATTGATTACTGTTTATTACTGAATAGCACAATAACTGTGATGAATGGAAGGAGTTCCACATGACCAGTTTCAAAATATGCTAATTTAATAGATCGTAACACTACAGAAGATTAAACTCAGAATTTACTGCTTATGCTCTTTTCACAGCTGTGTAATGAAGTAGCATTTCCTTTGAAAAGCATTTATTTCTTGTTGAGATAGGTTTTGGTGTATTGAAGGACAAGGCAATGGCAAGCCTCTCTAACAAGCGGAATAGGAGCCCAGACAACGTTCAAAAGATGTTCTTGAACTAAAGTCTACAATGTAACATTGCCACTAGGATGTTCGAAAGCAGATGTAAAAAAGTGCAAATTAAATTAGAAAATGTGTGTGTTCGTCTAACTTGATATGTTTATTTTACCTCTCACGTACATGGTGGAATACAGAAAGACTCTAAACTTCCATCGAAGACAGTCAGCAGTCACATGTTCTTGTGCAAAAGTTGGACTTGCAATTGGTACTTCAACAACATTTAGGTTATTTATATGTAAATATTTCTCCAGGCATATATGCAAGTATTACTAAATAACAACTCAGTATATTGTATTTTCATTTCTGCCTCAATCACTTTTTTCTATCATATCAATAAATGCCACATAACAAAATGAAGGGAACACTAAAATTCACTGACTAGTCAAAGCATAAATAGATGCTTTCCTTAACAGTGAAAATACAATTTGTGGCAGCTATTCCTATAAATTGTATGTAACAGCTTGACCTGAAGTATTCTTTATCCTTTTGAAGCTCGAGGTATGATTTTACAGAGACATACTGGTCCACATTCTCCGCTTCTGGCAGTTTTGGTTCTATTTGTGCCCTCTTATTTTCAAAGAAAATTTTGAACAATGAAAACTAAAAATAGTAAGCCCCTAAAACCTATATTCCCATCTGGTCTACTGAGATACTGGATTTTTGGCAAGATACTTTTTGCTGTGCAGCTAGTGGCCATTTTCAAGATTTTTATCTCTGCCTATTATGTATATTTATGTATTTATACTAATTAAAAGAAAACAAAATCATATTATGTTGCTGTAATGTGAAACTAGCTGGAATTGCTTTGATTCTTATTATTTCCTGAAGTACGTTGTGTCTTGAAGCTTACACTGTATACATATAAGAATGTGTGAAATATTAAAACAAAATAATTATTATACACATTTCTATACAAAGTCAACTATTTCTGTTTGTGGCTTAAAAAAATGCAGGTCTTTTTTTTTTTTTTTTTTTTTTTCTTTTTTTATGTGGCACCACTACAGAAGCGTATTTACCACCATCCAAAGATAATTCTAAAAAAACCCATAGACTATATAATTATAAAAGGAAATTCAGTAGGCAATGTCTCCAAATTCCTCCTGTTAACTGACAGCCTTCCAATACTGCAGGTCACTGTTTTAACTATTGCATTAAACTTTACATCTTGTGCATCCCATCAAATAGAGGAGGGCTGTGTACTTTTTCTCCCCCTGTTCTGGTACCAGATGTCATAGGTGCTTTATAAACCTTCAAGCTTCTGTAAAAAGCTCTAACATGCACAAAACCTACACCTACTCAGCCATACTTGAAGGTCTTTTCTTCAATACTCATATATTCACTGATATGAAAAATAGTCTGTGATCTCATACACCCTATAATATTCCATAATGTTCTAGTGTTTGTCCCATAGGAAATCTTTACATGGGTTTCAAGTTATTCATGGAACCGATGACAAAATTTGAATAAGTAATAGTAAGACAGGATTAATTTTTTAAATTTTAAGTAGTATATTGACTTACGTACTATAGAGATTTTGAATATAATTTAAAACACAATTTAGGAGTAGCATGTTTGGAAGCTCAGGCATTTGAATAAAGTAACATGCTTGTACTTTTTGGAAATGTAGTATTTGGCATAAGACTTTTTCTTTTTTTCTTTACAATATTATTCCAATTTCTATGGATTCTTAATATAGCTGAGCACATTCTCTTAATGAATTTTGATAGCTCTTAAGTGTAATAATTCAGGAATTTCAAGGGTCCTACAGGTTAGATTTTTAGTAACTCTTTTGATCTGTCGATACAGATTGCAATTAACTGTACTGTTATTGTATTACTCTTGTACTATTATCTAAAATGCCTACGTTGTCTGAAAGATACTGACTGCAACACTTCTCAGGAGAATGATGCAATCAAAGGGCAGCCTCTTTTATCTACTGGCAAGGAAAGCAGGTTGAAAAGGCAGATAGAGAAGGGGAAAGAGAAGGAGGACTTGTGAGACAATTAGTGGTTTAGAGTACACGACCAACAAGGAGAGATCTGAAAGCCAGAAGGTGGGCATTTTTAGTTCAGCCAACATTTCAATGATTCTGTGTTTGGTGTTGTCAAAAGTGTGGAAAGTGATTAGACAGAGTTGAAAGATCGTTTTTAATGGCTAATAAAACCAGAAGGAATATGGAAGAAGCATGTAATAGTAGTGTAGGGAATAGGTTTACATTTATTATAGCAGGTGGAAGCCATGCAGCGTTTTGGTACTGGCAGAGGATATAACAAGGAGGGACTGACCACACATTGCAGTTTTTCAGGTTCAAATTGGGCATTAGGAAAAGAAAAGTCACTAGGAGGGCAGTGCAACAATTTCACTGTAGTTTTTCAAGATTTAGCCAGACAAAGTCATAGCTAAAATCTTCTAATGTTTTCAGTGGTTGCACCTAGAGCAGGAAGATGGACCAGATGACCTCCTCGGGTCTTGTAAAAATTCAGTTTGTTTATAATTATTAATATTTTATTTTTAATTGAAAACTAAACAAGGTTTCTATATTATCTATATTAAATGTAATGTATCTTAAAATAGAAGCCATGTCTGATTTCTCAGATTAGGTCAGTTCTTTTGCGATTAGATGAAATAATAATAAAAGCATTTTCTTTTTTCTGACAAGAGAAATGGGTACAGAAACTCAGAAAGGATACATTACTCAGATGTTTTATAGGTACATCAACTTTCCAATACTAAGTTACAGAGGTAGATAAGGAGGTAATAGAAGTCTTTGGAAAGATGTGATAGTCTTGGATAGATGTAAAAATACAGGTGGAGGAATTAGGTTGGACAGTTCTGGGTAGTCTATAAGATTACATAAGTGAGGGTGAGAAAGAATAAAATAGGAGACCAAAAGTCACTGTCTTGGGAGATAACAGTTGTGAGAGATTAAAAGAATTCATCACTGGAGATGCTGAAGGAGGAAACACAAAACCAAGAAGATAATTTATTGACTACAGGGCCACTTTATCCAAAGGAATAAAATAAATGAGTAAACACATCAAAGAGCAGATCAAGAAAAGTGAGGATGAGAAAAGTTAACTAGATTAACTGATTGAAACATGAGATAAGTTTTTGGTTCCAGCTCTTCAGATTTTTGTCACTGATATGAATAACTGTAACTCCTAATAAGCAAGGACTAAATGTCCTGAATAAAAGGTGCCATTTGCAGATCATAACCTTCTGAGCAACAACAGGTTTTCAAGTGCTTGGTTGTAGAAGTAATTGCAGAAAGCAATATTTGCTCTTATTTTATAATTAAGATTTTGTAAGACTGTCGTAGTTTAACCCCAGCTCACAGCCAAGCACTATACAACAGCTTGCTCACTCCCTCCCCAGAGGGATGGGAGAGAAGAGAATCGGAAGAGGAAAAGTGGGAAAACTTTGGGGTTGAAATAAGAACAGTTTAATAATTGAAATAAAATAGAATTAAAATACTAACAATAGCAATAATAACAACAATTATTAATAACAACAACAACAACAATAATAATGATGATGATGATGATAATGATGACGTAATGAAAAGGAAAATAACAAAGAGAGAAAAATAAAACCCAAGGAAGACAAGTGATGCAAATGAAAACAATTGCTCACTAGCAACAGACCGATGCCCAGCCAATCCCTGAGCAGCAGCCACTCTGCCAACCTTCCCCCCTAGTTCTATTGCTGAGCATGATGTCATATGGTACAGAATATCCCTTTGGTCAGCTGGGCTCAGCCGACCCAGCTGTGTCCCGTCCCCACTTCCTGTGCACCCCCAGCCTGCTCCCTGGTGGGGCGGTGTGAGAAGCAGAAAAGGCCCTGACTCGGTGTAAGCACTGCTCAGCAGTAACTAAAACGTCCCTGTGTTATCAACACTGTTTCCAGCACAAATCAAAAACATAGCCCCGTAAAATCTACTGTGAAAAAAATGAACTCTCCCTGAACCAAAGCCAGCATAGACTGATAAAAGGAAGGTAATGAAGTTGAAGGCTCTTTATGCATGTCTTTGAGACTTGCCTCCTCATAAATACATGGCCTTTTTCAACATACTTTCTTAAAAAGGAAATTCTTATACTACATTCAACACCAATAAAATTCAGAAAACTGCACTTGTTGGTATGTCTGATTAAATTCATAGTATTTTCCATCTTCATTTATTCCAGCTCTTTCTTATTTCTTCCACATTCCCTTCTTGAGTCATACACAGTGAAGTCTGTTTGACTGTCTATGTGGTTTAAACATATGCTTTGGTTTTACAGACCGTTGATGTGTTAGTGGATGTTTACACAAATCTGAAAATAGTTGGAAAAGAAAAATCCAAGTAAAATGGAATTTTGAGATTAGTTTGCTTGAGAAGCGTCTATAAGTTGTTCCTTTCTTGAAATGAATCCTGGACCTCTTAACATAGAACTAATTTAGCTATCTTCTTAATAATCTTCATTCAGTTCATTGCCCTAAACCAAACTTTACTCACTGGAAAGATCTTTATTAAATTCGTATGTTCTTTTCTTTTGAACTGCAGCTCACCACAGCCACCTTGGATGGCAAGCTCCAATTGTTTCTACCCTGATATTTGCCAGGCTGTGGAGCTTTGGCCCTGGTCCTTTGAGAATGATGACTTGCTGAGAGAAAGGAGACTGGTAACCGGCCACAGGCAAGCAGCATAATATTCCCTTTTCAACTACAGTTTTCTCCTAACTTTGTTTTCTGCAAGTTCCTCAAGCTGTTCTCAAAGTTTTCCAGTTGTACAATCTGTTACCTTTATTGCAAAAATATGGGCAAATGATCAAGACAAGAAAGAGACTATTCATTCTGACTTCGTTCAAGAAATCACCACAGAAGTGGCTTTCAGAGGACCTCTTGGGTGCTTATAGTTTGTGTATTCTGTAGTACTTTGCTAGGCTAGGACCACTTTAGTTTGAAAATGCAGTTAAAAGAAAAATCGGTCCATTGTCAAAGCTAGATCTGTCTGTGACCAAATATTTAAATTAATCTGAAAGAGAGAAGAATTGTACGTCTTTCTGAAATGCCATGAAAGTCCTGCTGCTATACTCCTTTGGGGTTACTGGAATCAGCGTGGATGTTGTCTGAAGGCAGAATTTTACTGGTTTACCCTTTGAGCCACAACTCTGAGTTTCTTAGGGGATATGTGAGAAACATCTCTTTAAAATATTACCTTGTTGCTACAGTTTGATTTATTAAACCAGCTTTAAATGTAAAGAAATTATTCTGGTCTTTAATAACTATTTAAATATTATATTAAAAAAGTATTATGAAAATAAAGTTATGGGAAAAAGATGTTAATTTCTTGTATTCTTCCTAGTTTACTTGTTTCAATCTTAGAAGAGATTTGTTAGACAGCTCTTTTTTTAAAAACTAGACATTCTAAGTGTTCATTGACTCTAGGTCAGAGTAGAGAGAATGTATATGACTGGTGGAAAGAGACAGATTTTTTTCTTTTCCTTGCAAAATTGTTCTGACATTTTAGTTAAATTTACCAGAACAGAATCACCAAACTTTATTAATCAGAATAATTTTTTAAAAAGTATGGAAAAAATTGAATTACCACCACCCCTTTAATACCAATGAGTATGGCCAGATCACTTTCAGTACTGCAAAGAATGTCATTTTTAATAGGCATCCCCAATTTATACATATAATATTCATTATAAGTAAATCAAGGTATTTCTATAAGTTGTTTAATTTCCATAGCAAATGTTTTTTTAAAAGATTTTAGCTGGCTTTTGTGAAGCAAAATCATATACTGTCACTATGTTTCATATTCAGATATTCTCCACAACACTGTGGTCTCATCAATAACCATAGGAGTGTAGTACAGCTAGATCGTACTCAGCAGGAGTCTGAATATCAGAATCAGGCCTGGTATGATCAAAGCAAATGTGGAATAACCAAGAGTTCACCTTTTATGCTGCAGCTACATATAGTACACTCATGAATTATCAGCAAGATTGGAATTTTTATTTCCACCAAGGGACCCTGAGGATGGTATTCTTCAAACTTCGTTGAGCTGACTTCCTCATCTGCATGCTCTGGATTCCACACCAAACATAACTATTCAAATACAGAAAAATAGCACGACCCATAGCTGTATTTGCAAGGAAAGTGTTCCTGAGGCCTGGGTTGCAACTTGCTTAGCAGTGACCTACTCTTCAGAGAGTTTGAAGCATCTGCTGAGGAGGTATGAACCATAATTTTTACTTATTTAAAAAAAAAAAAAAAAAGTGCCACATTTTTTAAACAGAAGAATAACATTCTTGAGGCAGAGGACACACTCAGAAAAACTCTGAATCCTTGCTGCAAGCATGGAGGTTGTCATGATCTCACATGTGGGACTGAAGTAAAAGGGAAAGGCTTATATTTTCTAGATGTCCTACCTTCTAAAACTAACTGTTGTCAGTCCGCAGTCAACCAGTGTGTATCCACAACACCGCTCTTAATCTTGGGTTCTGCAGGAGGACCTCTTCTTCCAAATCTAATGTGTTATCTCTCTTTCCTTAAAGTGAGACTCAGCTCTGTGGTGCTTGCTGGTGACTTTCATCAAGGACCACTGTTGCACAGAAAAGCCCTTTGGGGTATTTTGGCCATGACCACAGCATCATCAATCCATGCTGAATAGAGACTTTCATCTGTTCAGGACTTGCAGATGTGCAGCTCTTCAGTAGCCCAAGAATTTGTTAACCCCTTTTTCCCTCAGGGGGTGAGAGAGAATCTGCCTACCACACAGGCACTAGAACTTTTCAAATGGAAATTCACCACAATTTTTTCGTATGTTCAAAAAAAGAGACTTTTTTTCCCCAGGGCTCCTCAGAAATGTTTGAATGCTTGTGGTTTTGAGAATGGAAAACTTCAAGCTGACACACTTCAAGTCTGGCAAAGTTAAATGCTGGAAAGCAGGTTTTCTAATGGCAAATAGGAGGGAAAAAAAAGTGTGATGGATGGTGCTACCATTTTATTATATTTAAAATTTTCATAATCACTGAGTTTTCCTTCTGAGATCTGTTTGACAGGACACAGGAGACTACATTTAATTACTAAAGAGTTACAGTGATAAAAGATTACTCTTCAACATAATACTGTATCCGCACAAGCACTATACCTTTGGTTTTAACGGGCAAACTTGACAGTTTATACTTTCAGTTTCTGGCATAAAGACAAGAATATTTGAAATGAGACATTTCTAAAAACAGATAGGAAGACTTCCTGGTTAGCTAACGTGGATAGCATATCTCAGCTATAAAAAATTAAGAGACAGTTTTAAGTGTAAATATGTAATAGGTCATTCTGAGGAATTTCGAGTATGCTTTCAGACTGCTTTTGGAAAAAAAAAAAACAACCCTATAGTATATCTCCCAAATATGTCACAAATTAGAAAGAATACGTGTCAATGTGTGAGGAAAACAGCTGGCAGAATAGTCTAGTTTCTTTAAATATGTAGCATCTGTCCTCGAATGTTGTATATGTTGAGGAGATGAGTGGTGTTTTTGTGACTTTCTGTGTGCTGTTATGTGGGGGACTTACCCAGCTGAACATCTACCAAATGTTGCCGAATTCTTAATATGGATTTACACAGCAGTTTGGTCTGGTGCTCTAAAGGTCAGAAAGCACAAGGGAGCAGCTGGCTCTGTTCTGAAGCAAATCCTGTTAAAAACTGTTTGGGATTAAGTGGTTTGCAAAATATCAGGTACTACCTGTTTTTCTGTGTAGAATGAAAGGAGAGATGGGCAAGTTTGGGTTGCACTGTCAGGAGGAGGGGAAGAGAAAGGCCGTGAATGAACTCTGCTTTCCCTTGACCTTTTCCATTTCTTTAATTCGCCATGAAAGAAGTGCTCTTTGGATGTATTCTTCAAGACTATATTGCTTTCCATTATACATGAGGATTGCATTTAAATAAAGTTAAATATTCCTGGAATATCTAGAGGTAGCCAATGGCCCTCATTCTTTTCTTCATTCCATTATTCCTGCATTTAACCATATCTTTTCAGAACTTCATTGTGAATTGTATTTTCCCTTTTAAACAACCAACAGATCTGTTTGTCTTATGCTATTGCAGGAAGACAAAGTATCAGTAAAATTTTCCTAAAATAATTTAAAAAATGTTGGGGTGTGCCTGATAAATAAAAAATGATGTGGCATGAAATTGTTATTATTTAGGATGCCTTGTTTCGATGAATGAGCGGCAGTTTAAAAATATATATACCAACAGAAATAGAAAATAAAATAATTTTTCCTTGAAATCCTTTCAGGTTTAAAAGAGTAATCTTATTCCAGGACAGTCAGACGTTGCTCTGGGATATATTACTTTTTATCTTATTGTCTAAATTGAACTTCTACTCACCAGTATTTCCATGATCACTTAGGACAAAGTCTACCCTTCAGAATACTGTACTTCAGTAAAGCAAGAGTAAGTCTGCTTGCTGTTGTGAACATGGTGCTGCTGGGAGTGGACTCAGGCGTTGTAAAAACTTTCAAGTGAGAACAGTGTACTTCTAATAATAACAAATTTTGAGTGTTAAGCTCTGACAGCTGGATGCACGTGAGGAGGCCTACAGAAGTTACTGATGGCAAGCAACTTTACGTTAACTGTTTTATCTTAAATCTTTGTATGTTTGACATGGATACAGTAACTTTACGTGAAAAAATAACTTAAACCAAAAAGGCATTGTTTAGCTAAAGGCCTTTGTTTTATATATTTTTATGAAAGCCAAATGTTGCTGAAAGGGAGGTATTGGAGCAAACACAGAGTAAATGGTGTGGCATGAACGAGCAGAATTAAAGCTATGATGAATTTGATTTAATATAAAGTGATATACATTCCATTCCCAGATTAAGAGTTTCTGGATTAATTTTATTTTGTGGCCAAAGTTAAATCAACCACAATGAAACATTTGCATTGTCTCAGTTAATGTAAACAAATGAACTCATGTCTTCCCTTCCATTCAAACCAGAGAAAGTTCATGATTTGTTGGGTTTTGTTTTGCTTTGTTGCTGGACAAAAATCTGTTCTGAACAGAAAAGTATTGTAAAATAATGTGGCAATTAGGCTGATCTTGTCATCCAGTCTGAGAAGAAAGTCGAACCCTTGAGAAGTCACCTCCAAAGACCAGCCCACCAGCCCAAAGCATTTACTTCTAAATTATTCCTTACAGATGTTTGTCTAAACTGCTCCTCAGAACCTCTGGTGACAGAGATTCCACAGCCTCCCCAGGTGGGAAGTCCCCTTGATGCAATTTAAACCCATTACTCTCTGTCTTAATCCCTTAGGCACAGGGGGTAATTCATAACCATCTCTTTGTAGCAACCTTCTACATACTTGGCAACTGTTATCATGTCTCCCCTCAGACTTCTCTTTTCTAGTCTAAACAAAGCCAGGTCTTTCAGTCTGTCTTCATAGGTCATGTTTTCCAGACCTCTGTTAATTTTTGTTGTTTTCTGTACTTTCTCCAGTCCCATGTTCCTCTTTCTGGAAGTACGGTGCTCTCAGGAGGTTATACCACTGCATGACATGTCATTGCTGTGTAGGCTGAAGGCGTGGCTTGCTGCATCTGAACTACGATGCTCATAATTTGACATTCCACTGTGGTATTGAGCTTATCTATAGCTATGTGGCTATATATGTTCACTCCCTAGGTTTGCTGGATCCTGTATAATTTCAGTTCATTTTTTCAATTGGCCAACACCACACTGAATTCTGATCCTGTGCTCCCAAGTGTCTCCAGTGCCTCCAAATATATTATTGTCTGTAAATTGGATAAGTAATGATTCTGGAGCGTGGAGGAAGTCAGTTCTCTGCTGAGTTGGCTCTGAGGTTATATATTCACTGCCAAGGAAGGTGTTCTTTTTATTTTACTTTAGATGTGGGCAGGGGAAAAAGACATTCATGGAGATAATTAGCTGAAATCGCTGTCTTATCCTAGCAGTCCAGTGAAGGCAGGGTGCTTCAGCTTTTACTGATGTTGAGGTCAACAACATGTGTCACCATTACTTTACTATCTCACAGTGCAAATTTCTTGTTCCTTCACTCATCGAGACTGTGTAATTGCATTAGTCCCCTGCTGAAAAAACAAACAATTATGCACATACTTACATGCACAC